GCAGTAATCTGTCCGTCCATCAGTAATCTGTCCGTCCAGCAGTAATCTGTCCGTCCATCAGTAATCTGTCCGTCCATCAGTAATCCATCAGGAAAGCAGAGAAGTTCTTCAGCTGGAGGTGAGTCCTTGTTTTGTTCCAACAGATGGTTTCAGAGCAGGATCATCTCTCTGATGAWAACTTAACAAGCTGATCTGTTGATTGGTTAACAAGCTGCAGCTGATTAAAGTCAGCAGCTGAAAACTGACAAGAAACAAGTCTTTCAAAATAAATGTCAACAAAAAGAGGTCCTCTTACAATCTTTACTGGAGTTTTAAACTTTACATCAACAGGTTCATTTAGACGTTCCTGTTTTACTGATAATTACACAGCTAACTAACAGCTAACAGCTAACTAACAGCTAACAGCTAACTAACAGCTAACAGCTTGTCTGGAAAGCTACTCTGGTTAAAACTTCTGAAAGCTTTGATGAAATCTGTTGATGAGTATGTAAATAAAAACATGTAAACAACAAGCATCATGTCTGTTTGGAACTAAAAGCTACATTTTGTGATGTTTCTGCAGCTGAAGCTGAAGCAGTTTAACTGAAACAAAGAGTTGGTCAGCAGAGTTGACAATCAGCTGGTTGTCCCCTGGTTGAAAACTTCTATTAGATTAGAGCTGGAATGAAGCAGCTGACCAGGCATTAGACCGAGCCCTGACTGTGACTATTCACAGGAAAACTGTTTGTTTTTTTATAAACCCARAGTTTACCATGAGGCTGACAGAAACATGATGATACTCATCATTTAAAGTTGTTGTTCTTAAAGAGAAGTAATAATTATTTCCATCCATCAGATGAGTGAGCAGCCTCCTCCGTATCGTCTGTTCTTCCCTGAAGGAACTGCACCACCAATGTTTCCTTCAGGTTTGTTGAGCAAACATTTGGACATTTGATCTTTTATCTGTTTCTTTAAACATGAACCAATAAATCTGCAGACTTTTTATTCTTTTACATTTAGCACAATATTTCTGTAAAACTCAGAGGAGTTTGATCATGTGACTTCCTGTTTCCTCCCAGCTTTCAGCCCGGCGCCTGCCTTCTTCCCAGGCTCAGCCTATCAGGTACCCACAATGCACTGCTGCAGCTTCCAGTCTGACAGAGGTCACATGACTGCAGCAGCTCAAACCTGCGTTCAGTACATCATAAACAATTAGTTGAACAGAAAACTTTAATCTGAAGAACAACTTTATATATTTTTATTAATAAAACCAGGGTTTGGGAAAAATTACACTCTAAACGATCCAACATATAACAGGAAGATCCAACCCTGCATTATAAAACATGCTAATTAAAATAATAATACAAACTCATTTAAAACAGCTTTTATCRCTTCCTCAGTCCTTCACAGGAGATCAAACCTTCTACCATCCAGGACCTGCAGGTCAGCATGGGACCCCAATGATGCCATCAGGTTACCATGGAGACCAACATAGTGACAAAAACCTACCAAAACACCCAGGTGAAAGCTCCACCCACACAGCTGCTGCAATTTTATCTGTACTGATGATGTCATTGTTTANGTTTACAGTTGGGGGCGGAGCCTAAAACATAGCACAGCCACTAGGGGGCGCTGCTGCTTTGCAGCTTCAACTTCCTTCTTCTAGGCCTGTGTCTAGTTCTTCATGGACTTTAAATGTAATGTTCCACGGWTACAGCTGTTTGATCTTATCAGAGCCCCGCCCACAGTGACTCACCAGCTGCCTTCTGATTGGCTGAAGCTTCTGCAGGTTTCAAGTTGTTGAGGATAAACAGTTACTTTTGTTTGTTTGTAAATAACAGTCAACACTTTGGCACAAAAGAAATGATGTCATGTATAAATTATAATAAAACCTTCTTCCTGAAGTTTATTTGAATGTTTTTTTATTTAAATTTATATGAACATTTCTGATTCAAGCATCATGTGACCAAAACCAGAACGTCAGTTTGGTTTTAAAAAAGAGAGAAATGAAGTGAGGAACAGAGAGGAAGAGGAGGAGGAGGAAGAGGCCATCCCACTGGACTCACTCTGCCCTTCAGCTGCTGTCAGCATCTCATCAGTCCCTCAGTCCGTCCACGATCGCCTCATCTGTCCGTCCATCAGTAATCTGTCCGTCCATCAGTAATCTGTCCGTCCATCAGTAATCTGTCCATCCATCAGTAATCTGTCCGTCCATCAGTAATCTGTCCGTCCAGCAGTAATCTGTCCGTCCATCAGTAATCTGTCCGTCCATCAGTAATCTGTCCGTCCATCAGTAATCTGTCCGTCCATCAGTAATCTGTCCGTCCAGCAGTAATC